GTGAAATCACCAACACACTCTAGCGTCTGCTGAGATAAGAGTTTTATTTTTCAAAGCTCAATCCACTGCAAGTTACTGCTTTTAAAGATTCTTTCTGTTTCAGCTACCATATTTCAGGGTCTGCTCTAATTGTGGATGTCCTTTCTGTGCTCTTCTAACAATTTAAAGATGAACAGTCTTGTATGGCTTTCCTTGGGCCATTTTGTTTCTCCAGTTTACTTGTTGCTTTTGTTCATGTAATGACAGGACAAGGGGCAATGGATTCAAACTGAAAGAAAGTAGGTTTAGATTACATATTAGGAAAAATTCTTTATCGTTGCCCAGGGAAGCTGAGGATGTCCCATCCCTTGAAGTGTTCAAGGCCAGGCTGGATGGAGTTATGGGGAACCTGGTCTAGTGGAAAGCATCCCTGCCCATGGTATTGATATTGGAACTACATGATCTTTAAGATCCCTTTCAATTCAAACCATTCTATGATTCTATGAATTTTAGTCGTACTCTAGCAAGACACTGGGTAATCGGATGAGAGACATGCAGCCACTGTACAGTTTGTCCAGAGTTTATTGTGTGCTGTATGTTTCCGGATGGGTGAGAAGGCTAAATATTGAAGTCCTTTGCCCACAGTTCTAGGTTTCTTTTCTGCATATTGGCCTTACTGTACAATATTTAAGAGTAATTTCTGAGCACACATTGTACAAACTAATGAGCAAATTGCGAAAGCAGAAGTGGGAGAGCTGCTCCATGATAACAGCAGACAGACAGACTTGGTTGTTAACAGATGAGGACATTCTAAACTCACTGTGTGTATATATACACTTACACATGAGGGATAAACCCCAGCATTTGTCTTACAGACCTCACTGCAAATTAATTATAGCCTGTTTAGTTGCACTTCTGCTGACTCCAAGAGCTCTAACCCACAAAGCAGGATAAGATCTTGAGGTGGATGTGTTGGGCAGAGATACGAAGTTGTGAAACTTGATTTTCATTTCAATGACTCAACTACTGGCTAGTGAAGGCATTACTTGGTTTGGCTCTGATGAGTTATGTTAGTGCCAAAAAACTGTCTCCACCTCAAGGAAATTTTAAGGAGAATCTTGAAGCCATTCCAGGATCTGCCTTGAGAACAGCTTTGGCTCAAACCAGAACTATTCAGGTAATGTTAGTAATACAAGGATAGCTGATTTACTGAGTCAGTAATGTGGTAAAACTTTGGGCCTATTTAGTCACAGTGGAAATGAACAAAGCTGTAGAGCTTCTGTGTGTTGAAGGCAAAACCAAAAACTTCCCCACAATTTTCTCAGAAGTCATGGAAAAGAGTCACAGAGAAGCATTCTGCAAAGAAATCCACAGTGACCTTGAGTGGCACAGGAGGACAAAGGAGCTCCTAGCATGCATTCCTGCTTAGGTGTGGCAGTGACAGTTACATAATTGTCAAGATCTTCTCTGCAACTGCTTAAGCAGCAGTTGCACTTGCAAAGATGTGTAGAAGTGATTATGATGTGGAACTGGTAGAAAATTTTCTAGCTTTTTTAAAAAAGAAAAATTAAGCCTCAATTTTTTTTTTTTAATTTTAAACCAGATTCTAATTGCAAAAGCTGTCTCTTGAGAGAACTGGTGTATTCATGCTTTTCACTTAAAATGTCAATTTGAGATCTATTGCTCTATCCAGTATGAATTTGCTGTAAGTGCAGATGGATGCACCTGATCAAATATGAACTTTCTCTTTCGTGTGGAAGTGCTAAACAAACAAATCTCAATACATAAGAATTTGTTTTAGGTTACTGCCATGTGTCCAAAAAATAGGTATGATGTGCCTTTGCAGGAGTAATGCTAAAAGCACTGTTACGAGTGTCTCTTCTTATGCTTCTGTTGCTACCTTGTCCTCTTTAAGAAGAGAGAGCTTTGTACAAAGGGGCATTAATGGATGGAATTTACTGGGATATGTAGCCAGCTTTGATTTGGACTTTAAACTTTGATAATAAGCAAATCAACCACCCCCAGATTTAAGATTTTCTGGAATGAGGATCTTGGTGGCCACGACTTCTGTTGTTGTGGTAAAGTATGTGTGTTCAGACTGTAGGAGACATAGAACTGGTTTGTGTTTCCAATGATTTGTAGCTTTTGGTGATGCAGCAAGTTGTAGCAAGATTTAATAGTCTATCTAATATAAGTAGTCCTTCTGACATAAATTTGTGTTTCTTGCTTGCTTTCCACATTAACCTATATTAAAATAGAAGTCAAAAGAGCCCCATGGAGAACTTTGGTGGAATTACCCAGCAGTCCTTGAATTAAGTCCTGTGACACAGTCACTACTTACAACATCAGTGATTGATGTGTTGAGAGAGGAGCTGCACCTTTCAGGGCCAGCTGGAACATCTTACTGGGTTGTTCTGAAGCTCACCCTGGACAGTTTCTCCTGAATATTGAATGACACAAACCTCTGTCTGGTCTCTTGGTGCTGACTGATTTCTCAGCAATAAAGTCTTGATAGAAGCACAGGCATTGGTCCAGAGGTCTGAGACCTCAGACGCCTGCAGCTGGATGCAATGACATGGTTCTTTCCCAATTATATGTGAACATGCACACATGTTCAGTACACAGTACACTCAGACAACTGACGGAGCAATTGAGGTAACAGGTTGGGTTGTAAAACTACTGAGCAAAACAGCTCTACAGTGGAAGAAGAGCAGATTTGCAAAATTACTGTTTTCTGACTGGAATCTTACTAATGTTTCATGATTGATTCATTTTCACATCATTCTTAAAAAAGTCTAGGAAAGATCCTCTGCTCTGTGAAAAATGCATACTTTGCTCCTGAATCACAATTTGGCAGTACTGATTGTTACGTTCTTTCAGAAGTGTACTTTCAGTTCACAGTGATTAGTTTCTCTAAAATGAGTGCCAGAGGAGTTACTTTGGGAGTTACTTTAAAAGTGTGGTCATGACACATATCAGAATATGGATATAGTGATGTGTGCCACATTCAACAAATAACCATTTTATCTAGTATTTATCAAATATTCCAGACACCCACTATATAAGTTGTTACACTTTGAGACTGATGGGTTTCTGGCATGTTCTCTATTCTCTTGCTACATGATGGAGAGCTTTCCTGATGATTGCCGGCTACTGGGAGACTTCTTTTTCTGACTCCCCCCGCTCACCAACTTTCAAACTTTGTGCAGCTTAATTTGAAGCATTGCTGTTATCCTCTAGTTAGATATTGTGAAGAAATATATTGGGCAGATAAACACTCAGAAAAATCTTTGTTTTTAAATTTCTATGACCTGTGAAGTTTTCCCAACAGAGCCAGTCACCTTAACATCAAACTTGACTCAAAACCAGTGAAGGTAAAAGCAGATTAAAAAGTATTTTGTGCAGCTAAAATAGAGTGTGCAAAGGCTTACAAACACACAGTAACAGGAATAGAAGTTTACTCCTTTAGATCATAAAGGATTTTCTCCCCATTTATATTATCAGATAAGCTGGTAAACATTTCACAGCTTTCCTCCCTGAGAGCTCCATTGCTCAAGCCAGCCTTTCATCCTGATACTGAAAACATGGAAGAAGCAGTATGAGAACCCTTAATTTCCTCAAATTAGTGTTGAAACCAAGACAGAAGAAAACTAACCCTTCTACTACAAAAAAGTCCAAGCTTCCCACTTGGAAAAGGGCAATGGTTCTGTGAGTTTGGATCACAGCTCTTATCTACCATTTAAGAAGTTAAAACATGCCTTTCCACATTTTTTCAAACTCATAATCAACTTGATAGTCCTTTCACACTCATTGGGAAATTGTTCAAACCTTGACTTGAAGCTTCTTGTTACATTATATTTTTATTATTCCTATTAAAATGTATGCTTACCTCCTCTAGAATGTAAATAAAGTTAATGAATGTAGGTCTTGAACAAAAGCAGATATGGGGATAAACAATCACTGAATACCCTGCAGTAATGTAGGACTTTGTCAGGTAGGACTTTTGTCATCACTTTGAGGAGCGAATAAAAGTAAGCTTATGGGAACCAAAATGAAGGAGATGAAGGCAAGCACAGGGGAAAAAGGTTCTGGAAACTATGGACAAGGAAACAATTCCAGGTCAACCTCACCCTGGAAAATTCAATTTCTGTTTGGAGAACTTTAGCTTTACCACCAGACTAAACAGGGAGAACTGTATGGAGTTTCCACACAAACCTGAAGGAAGAAACTATTGTTTGAACCAAAAAAGTGATATTCTGGCACAGTGGAAGGGATAGCTGATCAAACCAGAAAAAAAGGTAAACACTTAGAATCATAGGATCAAAGAATAGTTTGGCTTGGAAGGAATCTTGAAGATATCTGTTTCCAAGTTCAGGTTATATGGTGAAGAGCAAATAGAGCTCTGCTCTAAAAAGAGAGGGTGAGCAACTCAGGTGGCAGCAGACACTCACATTGCCTGTTCAGGTGGATAGCAGACAGGGGTGACAGTGCCTGGACTCACTTCATGAGTGGGGTGGTGGATTGCCAGGGCCTGGTTTCTCTTGTGTGACAGTTTTCCAGAGCAGGCATGATGAAGCCTGGCATGCCCTGGGTGCAATGGGATGCACGGGTACAATCTGTTTCTTTCAATGCATGAAATGTCTCCGCTTCCACCAGGCTGCCGAATGGGCATCAGTCAGCCCAGGGGATCACAGCCTGAAGGGGAGCTAAACCCAGGAGCGACGGCCAAAGGGAGCGGGCTGATGCCCGAGAACACGGGCTTAGCCAAGCTGCGGGGAGATGCCTCGCAGGAGGCCGTACAGGAGGCCACCGTGAGGACCAGCTCTCCCTGTGCCAGGTCCTGCATGCCCTCGGGACTCGGCAGGGCTCGGCGGGGCTGCCCGGCTCCCAGCTGCCGGCCACCGTCCCGGGCCCTTTCCGCCAAGCCTGGCCGGGCCGGCCCGGGGGCGGTCCCGGCCCTGTCCGGGGGAGGTCCAGGGGCGGTCCAGGGCGGTCCGGGGCGGTCCGGGGGCGGTGGCTGTGGCTCCCGGGCGAGGTGGGGAGCGCTGCCCGCCCGCCCCGCTAGTGGAGCGGGCAGGGGCAGCCGGCGGAGAGCGTAGGGAGGTGAGGAAGGGCGGTGGGCGCTGTGGGGACAGTGCTTCGTTCAGTCCCTGGGCCGTGCCGGGCCGGGCTGGGCTGGGCTGGGCTCGGCTCGGCTCGGCTCGGCTTCCAGTACCGCCTGCGCGGCGGGGAGGAGAGGGGAGGGAGGCTGGGTGGGCTGAGGGGTGCAGGCTGCGCTCGGCTGGGCTTTTCCTTCCCGCGTGTCTCCTCCGCGCCGGGGCCCGTTTGCCGTCCTGGGCTGGGGCTCCCCCGGGCCGGTCCCCCGGGGCCATCGGGGTGCCTTGGCCAGGTGAGGTGCAGTGCTGGCGGCTTCCAGAAAACCAACACCGACCCCTGGGTTTGCTGCTTTCAGCTGTTCTGAGGCCGCGTGTGTTTCTGCGGGGTGTGCTGGCACAGTCTCCCAATCTTTGTGACTGCTGGTTTCTGTGCTTTTCTGGCCCCAAATAGCTTCCGTGGAAGTAATTTTTTATTTGCTTTTGTGTCTGCTTCCTCGTTGTGTGTCACATTGTACAAGCTCAGGTAGGAAATACGATGGACAAATGAAGGCTGTAGGAGTGCTAACGCTGCCACATTTTTTAAAGTACTTGTAACAGGAAGCGGGATAATGTTTGCCGTAAATCTTCTTGACCTGGTAAAACACTACAAAAACTATTTCTGTATTTATTTATTGCATAACGATGATCAGACGGGGGCTCTTTATTAACTGCTTGTGTGACAAGAGCAAGATTTTGGGTGAAAGAGATGCGTGTGTCCAACCCAGGACTGAGCTGCTGCTCTGACAGTCCCGGACCTGTGCTGGTCTCAGCCTTGATGGTGCTTGGCAGCAGCCTGGGGAGCCACAGCTTGCTAGGAGAGATCCATCCAAAGTTACTGAGCTGAATCAGGCTCTGGTGTGCTTCCAGCAGCAGCTCTTAGGTTTTTGGTGTTTTCTTTAGGGACTCGAGCAAGCTGCTGGATGTGTTTTGTTTTTCTTCTTCAGAGATGCACTTATTTGACATTTGTATGTGTTTAGATCCTTAAAAAACAGGCTAAAAGGTCTTGCACAAAAGCTGCACAAAAGTATTTTAGAATGCAGAATCCTTAATTCAGATATTTTAATTCACATATTTTATGAGAAATGAGACGCCTGTTACTTATTTTTTGGTATTATTGGTTTCCTCTCTCCTCCTGAGATTAAGACATTATTTTTTTAATACTTTACATCACTGTTTTTGAGAAATATAATTTTGTCTGTATGAGCTATTCAGGTTCTTTTAAATGCCTCCTAACAGTATATTAAGAACTATACTGGAAACTTAATAACTGAATTTGGATTTAAATAAAAAATGTGTCACATTAAAATTCTTATTATTTCATATTGACAGGTATCAGGAGTTAAGATGACATAGAAAAGTATTCAAAGTATGGACTGTGAAATTAACTCCTTCAACTTCATACTGAAAGAAGGTACTGTTTTCAATTTATTTGAATATTGATGAGGTTGCCCTTTTCTCTGGGTTTTGGATAAACTCATTGTCTCCAGTTTGATGTGGAATAGAATGAATAGGTAGCACTTCACTATTAGAGTCAACCAGTGATGGCCAGTCATGTACCCCTACAGATTCTGTTTTTGTTTCTTTCCTGTTTTTCTTTGGTAAAAGCTGGGGCAGTTACCTGAACTTGAAGTACACTTTCTTCAAGTTCAGATTTAGAACAGTTAATACTGTCTCAAAGTTGAACTGGAATTTAGCTTGCAAAGACCTAACTATTGCAGGCTTTGTTAATACTCTTTAATGGCGTTTGGATGTATCTTCACCAGAATATCCTGGATAATGGGTTTGTCTTAAAGATACAACTTTTCTGTAGTTTTGCAGTATGCAAGATTGTCTGGAAAGGAGACACAAGGACTAAAGTTTGTGGTCATTGTGTCAAAGTCAGAATACCCTTATTATAATGCTAATTATCATCTTTGCCCTAAATTTAAGTATTTGTTTCCTTTTAGTTGTTGAACCTGTCTTATAAAGTTGCTTGACAGATTTGTAACATGGTGTTGTTTTTGACAGAAACTTCTTTTCCAGAAGATACTTGCTAGAATTCTTGGTCAGTCTCTACTGCAAGTTTTGTCATCACTTTTTTTTTTTTTGTCATAAATTTTTTTTTTTCATCTTTTTTTTTTAAGTCATCGCTTTAATGTACAGGGGCATGCTCTTGCTGTTACATTTAGGATGTATGTAGAAGAATTAGCTTTGTATGTGTATGCTGCTGTCCAAATGATATGTTTTGTAAAATGTTTTTTCCCTTTCGCTGCTTTTTGCAGGTAAACTGAAACTCCAAAAATGATGACCTGCTCATTGGCAAGTTACAGGAAAAGCACATACAGGGGAACTAAATAAGGACTGTGGTATGAGGGTTTTGCCAGATAAACTGTCCAAAAGAGCTATTTACCTGGAGGCTGTTATGTTAAATTATTGAGCACTGCACTGTGTGACCCTCACTAATACCCCAGCACTTCTGCGTATGAAATGCTTCAAAAGAAGAAACTGCTGTGGCTTATTTGCAACTGAAGTGAATTACATTGGATATAAAAGTAAGTCATGGCTTACTTTTTCATGGAATAACTTATCTGCTTCCTGCCATTTGTAGCTGGGTAGAAGGCAAATATTAACTAGGACCTATGCAATAAATGTTTTGCAATGGACTGCTACATGTGAAACCAGCTTGCTTTAGAGTGAGAGGCAGCAGCATGCAAAACAATCAAAAGCTGAGGAAAGGCAAGGCCCCTGAATGTGCAGATCTTAGGCTACCATGACTGCCAGAAGGGGAAGGATTTGTTTGCCCCCTGTTTGACAGTAGAAAGCTTGGGGAGATCTCTGATTACACCTCACCAAAGAAATGTTGGTGCATCTGAGAGGGAAGCAGGACTTGGTTAAGGTTTAGAGTTTCATAGAAGCCACTTGTGGGCTATGAGGGCAGTGGGTGTGCATTCAGTCATGTCTTTATTGGAGAAAACTGAAAAAAAGACCTGAGGTGTGAATTGAAACCGCAGTTCTTGGACACTTTTTTTTTGCATCTGATTGCAGCAAGTGTCAGATGCAAAAAAATGTCTGTGGTTTCCACAGACATTTCACTTTAGATGCCAATTTTAAGTGGCAGATGATAATGGAGTTACAGTATGCTTGTCCTTCTGCAAAGAAATGCAAGTTACTGCTCTTAAAAGCTGCCTCAGCTGTATAAGAACAGTTCAAAGACGGAAACCTTGTGTGATTGTGACTCTTGTAAGCATTTGGAAAGAAGAGTAGCTTAATCAAGCTTGGTTTTTAAATTAGGCAGTATGGCTTAAATCGCTATGCTAGCATAATTTGTCTTTGCTTGAGGGTTTTGGGGTATTTATTTTTGTTTGTTTAACTATGCTGGTAAAAGAATATTACACTTATGCAAGAGTTATTCCTTTGGGATAGTTCTAGTTCCAGGAAAAGTTCTAGTACAAAGCTGAAAACTGAACAGCTGTTTATGAAGGCCAAGAGCTGCTGTAGTTGAAATCTTCAATGACTGGGACTAAATTACCAAATCCATGTTTTCCCTCCCCAAGATGACTAATGCTTCTTCTGATTATTTTTTTTTTCTTAAGGAGTAATGCAGGGTGCAGAGGGCAGTGCAGCTTGAACAGTCTTACCACACCAATGGAAAAAACTTCTGGTTTACAGCAAAATATGACATCTGTATTTTTGTACATTGGTCATCTCATTGTACTGATACCTCTCTTCAGTGCTGGTAGGTTACATACTTTGTTGAAATTACTATTTACAAAAGAAAATCTGCATGAGATGAGTTGTGTGCATTTAGTAGGCGTTACTGAGAACAAGTAGTGAGTTTGGGGTTTGCTTTTGCTTTTAGCATACTGACAATAGCTGAATGCCTCTGCTGGGTTCAAATTTTACTGGGGATGTCATGGACAAATGGAGATTTTTTTTTTTTAATCTAGGCACATAAATTTAGGGCTCTGAGGCTTTGATTAGCCTCTCCATGTTTCTTGTGAAAAAATCCCAAAGTGATTGGCTTTTCTGACTTAAGGTTACCTATAGAGTTCCCTTTTCATGAGACATTCTGTATGTCTAATCCTGAAAGCAGTAAGGCTGAGGTTTTTTTACAATTAAATTAGTAATATTTTTAATAATAGGTGTAGTATTTCAGTAAAGTTTAGAACTACATAAGTTAATTATGCTTGTCTTGCTACTCTTGCCATAAGCAGTCAAATACTAATGTGTCTTGAATTAGATTGAACTATATGGAGACTTACTTGGAAGTCTTTAAATGGGAAGGCAGTGATATTAGAAAGATTAGTGAAGATTTTATTTATTTTGAAATTGAATATGTTAACTTTGTATTTGTACAGCCATTCGGCAAGATTTGTAAAATCAGTTCAACCAGATGTTTTGCAGTTTCAAATAAAAATTCAGTGTTGGACATAAAATCACAGAATGCTTTGGAATGGAAGGGTCCTTAAAGATAATCAGTCACTGATCCAGCCCCGCTGCCATGAGCAGGGACACCTCTCAATAGACCAGGTTGCTCAAAGTCCCATTCAGCCTGGCCTTGAACATTTCCAGGGATGGGACATCCACAGATTCTCTGGACAAATGTATGCAGAAGCTTGAAAGTTTTACAGTCTGCTTTATAGCCAAATGGTCAGCTCTGTTTGTGCTACAGTAGTATTCTCCAGTAAGTTTTTGTTTGCATATTTGGGCTCTTGATAGCTTTTTGCAGTCTCTGTCCTTTTTTCTCTGATTTTTTTTTGGCTGATGTTGAAAGAAATGCTTCCAAGGCTGCATGATTTGTCCTGTCAACTTGTTACACAGGCATTGTTATAAAAACTATGTTTACATTGGCCTTTTCTGTGATGTTCTGAATAATGGGCCTTTTGGTTAAAGGCGCAAATGTAGGAAGGAAATAATGCATTATAGTCAAGACTTCTTAATCTAAATACTTTTTCTTTCCAAGTTTTTTTTCCCTGATTTGTTTTTGGCTCCACAGTCCTAGTAGCAGAACATTGTCAGGAGCTGCTGCTGTTTGCACTGTGCTTTACATAGATAGTATTTACTTTAAGAATCTGGCAATTGTGAAAAAATACTAGTGTGGTTAAATAACAAGAACATGACACGTAAGTTGGGAAGCTTGGAGTTGCCTTATGAATCCCACGGATCTTCTTTTACCCTGGTTTGCAATGAGGCTGTTTGGCTTGCATGTGCTTGTTGCTTGTTACCCTAACAGAGGGAAGTTGGGCCTTAAGCTTGTAAAATAGGTGATCATGTTCACAACCAGAAGGTGGTAACAAACAAAATAATAGCCTTGTGATGTTTTAATATTAAGTTGCAACAGAAAGGTTTTCTAATTCTGTATAACTTGGAATGGGTATTAATACTTCTTAAACATAAAAGTATAGAAATTAAAAACATTGATAATTTTTCATTTTTTCTTTTTTTTTTTTTTTAACAGAAGGGTGTGTTATTTGTGATTACTTTGTGCTTGTTGGAGAGCCTATAGCTATTACTTGCCCAATAATTACATTGCCAGCACTTCACTCTGAATACAATTTGACATGGTATAAAAATGGTAGTGCTGCAGCAGTGACCACAGAGAGAGATGCCAGGATCCACCAGCGAGAGGGCTTGCTTTGGTTTATTCCTGCTGTGCTGGAAGATTCTGGACTTTATGAATGCAATGTAAGGTAAAGAAGGAAACAAGTTGATTGCTAGTGCTTGCAAGTGTGATAATTAATTTGTGAAACTTGAGTGTACAAAACTTCTTGTTTTAGGTAAAATGCTTAGATCAGTTGAAAGCGCTGTTTTCACCATGCCTTTTGTTTCTGCATGATGCCTGTGTTTCTCTGCTATTCCATGCATTTAGTACTACAAAAGTGGTTCATACAGAAGACTCTCTTTATCTTAAAGTATGACATTACTAAAAATGATCTGTGGGGGTGGTTAGTTGCTTTGCTTGTTTTGGATGAAGTGTAAGGTCACAGGAAAATGCCTTAACCTCTTTGGGTTTTCCTGTGTTCAAATTGCTGTTTGATACTGACAGATCAGAAGAGCACTGGTTTCTTTGTAGGACAAGGCTAAATGTAAGAAAGTTCTAAGAGGATCAAACAGTGCATTTTATCACCACACAAACTTCCTGGAGAGCTTAGCAACTTTTTGGAGGTCTCACTAGAAATCCACAGGTTAAAAGGCTGAAAACAGTTTTTCTGATTTACTTTAAAATATTGCCATTACTGGTCAAAATGAGAATACATCAAAAGAGCAAAGCAGTGTGCTAGACAGCTTTAGAGACTGAAAATAATGTTTTTCTACTACTACTCAAATGATCTGAGTGCACAGAAAACTAAAAAGGAATAGATTCCTTGATAAGTATTGATATGTACCTTTTTTAGTACTTTAAAGCTCTGGCTAGATCAATCTAGCCAAGCACTGGACTTCACTACTTAGGACATCAAATCTTTTTTACAATGGTTGAAATTCACTGTGTGCTGAACAGGAAATTAAGTTTGGGAAGACATACATAAAGTGTTCCTTTCCTTGTGGTGTTGCCACAACACACTGGCAATAGAATGAGACTTTTCAGGCGGCCCTAAATTTGATTTACTAATGTGTAGTTGTGTGTACTGGTGTGCATAGAGTTGTGCTGGAGAGGTTTGCGTTGTGAATGATCAGTGAAAACTTCCAATGTCGCAGGCACATTCCTTCACTGGAGTTTACCAGGAAGCCAAAATTGGAAGTCAGAAGACATGTAATCCTTTCAAAGCTACCCAGCTTTGTAATTTTAATTTAGCCTTTCCTGCTATGGTTTTAGTTACTTTAGGTATGAGGTGTACTCCTGTGGGCACCTCACATCCTCATATCAGCAGAACAAAAAACTTGCTAAAGTTCAGTTGTATTAACTGTAAGCAACATTTTGTGCATCAGACACTTAAGTGCAGCTCTGAGAAGTTCCGATGTCCCCTCTCATGTGTCCAGAGCAAATTCCATTTCTGCTCACAACACAAACTCAGAGCTTATTCCTGTCCCTTCACCTGGAACAGGGGCTGAGAGGTTGAGGATGTTGTTTACAAACTAAGGGAATGCAGCAGGGGTGTTGTAGAGGCAAGGGTGGTGGAGATGCTGAAGTCTCTCTCCCTGACTTGCTGGAAATAATGCACTGTTAATTACCTGACTTGTCTGCTGTTCTAATTACAGGAGCCTTAACCACTCTAACAAAAAAACTATAAACTTAACGGTTTTTAAAAACGATAATGGATTGTGCTTTAATGGAAGAATGAAGTTTGAACAAAAAGTGATGAGCACGAATACTGGAAAGATTATATGTCCTGATCTAGAACAATTTAAAAATGAAGACAATAATCAGCCTGAAGTACATTGGTATAAGGTATTGAGCATACGTATTTCATATATTCAAGATACAAAATGTATTATTTAAAATGTCTGTCATGGTTTGACCCTAGCACAATGCCAAGGCCTCCATGACATTGTATATTTCTAAAAGGGTTGCTGTGAGATGTGACCCAGGAACAGAACAAAGCTTTTGGAAGGGAAGGTGTGTTTTCTCTACAGTTTGAGTACAGCATGAGTGTGAATAAGAATTGTGAAATTCTGATTTGTCCTTTGATTATTTTATGTAGATAATAAGTTTTAAAACTTGTATGTTTCTGTAAATAGAAGGCTTTGCATAATTATCTCAGTTTCTCAGAATATTAGGCATTGTTAACTATGGTGTGGTATTCTTATGCTTCTTACTTTGGTTCTGTGAAAATGCTCTGTAGCCTGTGCAAGCTTGAAAACATGTATTTTATCTGTTTTAAGGTAAAAATCTAAACAGTTCAACTCCTAATTCTGATGCTGGTATTAAAGCAGCTACATGGGCCTATACACGTTAAATAGCCTTGGTGCAGCACCTATATATCTTTTGAGGTGAAGAGATTCTCCACTGCTTTTAGGTCAAGGAAGAGAAGGAAGTTTTTTCTCAGAATTTGCATTACCACAGAAATGGGGATACACCCAAACAGCACGAGGCACTGCTACAGCAGCTCTGTCATCACAGAGGAGTAGGGGTGGAGGCATGTGTTCTCATAAACTCTGCTGCATGTGTAATAACTTCTACTACACCTGAGATAGAAAACTGTCAAGCTGTTAATGTAGGCTGTGAACTAAAGCAGAGTGTTTGAAAACTTCAAGGGTTGGCTGCAGTTATTTTTTTTAAAAGTGCAAATGGAGCAAGATGTTATCAGACTTTGTTAGACTGTAGTAATGCTTAGAAAAGAATCCACATCATGGCTTTCAAGGAAGTCAGTGTTTGTCAAATATTCTAATCATCAGTAGAGTACAGTAACAGGTTTGTCAGATTTTTTTAGTTCCCTTTAAGTCACTGGTACCTTTGGTGTGTTTAGGAGTGTAAACCTGGATTTCTTGAAGACAAGCGGCTTCTTTTGGCAGAGGGTGAAAATGCTGTTTTGATTCGTAATGTAACTGTGCAAGACAGAGGAAACTACACGTGCCGTATGGTGTACACATATATGGGGAAACAATTTAATGTTTCAAGAACCATAAGTCTAGAGGTTAAAGGTGAGTGCCTGAGGTTATTCTCTTTTTGGCTCTGCTGTAAACATATGTATGCAGGCATAAGATATTTGGCATGTTACTTTTCAGCTCTGTGAAATTAGAGTTGTAAGTCTTCTTTAATTTATTCCTGAACATAAAACTGAAAGGCAATGTGGCATGTTGCAACCCTTGAGCATTGCTTTTGAGGAAGAATTGTCATGGGGAAATGAGTAATGCAGGGTTAGGAATGAGAATGAGAAGAAAACAGTGGTTCCTGGGGTGGAGGTATTGCTTTTGCCAAAACAAATAGTGCACCAAAAGTAAATAAACTTAAAAATAGAAGATTTTTTTCTGAGACTATCACAGCAAATTATCTGCTTGAAGCCCTGTTGGTAAACTTGCTTCTCTGTTGATGGGAAAGGCGATGTGATAAGCTGTATAAATGACAAAAAAAGTTAATAAATCTTCCTCTGGAATGGATTGGCTTAGTGTTGGCACTTGGTTGTGCTTTTCTGCTGTCTCACTCTGGCAGTAGTGTAATTTATTGCACTGGCTATTGTGATTATGTCTTTGTGGGCCATGTTGCTGGTGACCTGACTAGTAAAATGATGATAGTCCTGTCAGAATAGTTGTCTGGAGACAGCAGGTCCATCTTTTTAGGTTAAACCAAAATTCTGACTTTATATAGGTGATGTAAGAACAGTGGGTTGTTGGCAACCAATCTATACATTGTGCAGAATGACACAATTCTAGCCCAATTTAAGTACATGCTTGTTTAAACTTTTAGTTAAAGAAATATTAATTTTGTCTAGGTGGTCATTGATACAACCCTTTTTTTCTTCCTTATCAGTCTCTGGAAAAGTTAACTGAGTTTTTTGGTTTTGTCTTGGTTGTTGGTTTTGTGCTGCTTTCATGTCTGCTGCCAGTAAATTTGAGATTTTTTAAAAGCATTTTAAATTTTTTTTTTTTGTTAACTTGGAAGCTAAAATAGAATAAGTTGGAGAGAGTAGAGAAAATATCTTATGAGACATTTCTGTTGTAAATTTGAAACTTGTAGTAAGTATGGCTCTACAATAATACCAAACAATAAATCCAAACCCACTGTAAAACCAAAAGTATTGTCACTTGAACTAAGTTGTGGATCTTTTTGTGCCTGAACGTTTTATTTTTCTTTGGTTAGAAAAACCACTGCAGATGCAACCAGAGTTTATTTATCCAAGGAACAATACAATTGAAGTAGAACTTGGTAAGTAGTGACTATTTAAGAGATCATTAACTTTAATGAAAAAAATAAGCTCCTGGCCTTTTTGAAAAGATGTGTGAACAGTTCCACAGACTTCAGCAAGACTGGAAAATAAGTATGTGAATGGAGAATATCTGGAAGACAGAGGATAGATAATAGAATGTGATTCCCACAAATAATTTGTGGGGGGAAGTAACTGTGCCTAAGATTGGAGTCTCTTGACCAGCAGTGTTGTACAGGATGCATTTATTTATTTTCTGTTATTTCCATCTGTCCTTTTTTACCATTTCTCTGTGTTTGTGTCCTGATGTATCCTCAGTATCTGTGGAAATATGGTTTATGTACATGTAGCATGTTAGCATAGTTAGCAGTTGACGTGTTCAGTAGCTCTTTCTCTTCCTCTGTGTTTCCTGTCTCCCTTCCCTCGCCACAACCTGGATTTTGTTCCTTGTTTTAGGGCAATACAGATTTTGGATACTGATGTTTTGTGAAACAGTGAGCTGCTAGTTGATACATATCCCAGGTACTGTTTATCTTGGAAATTTCTTAAATAAGAGATTCTGGGTATAAAGAATAACTTCTTCAACAGAGAGGACAGCTGAGCAGTGCAGCAGGCTGCCCAGAAAAGTTGTGATGTCTGTCTTTAGAGGTTTTAGAATCTGACTGAGTAAGTCTCTCAGCAGCCTGATCTGACTTCAGAATCAGGCCATACTTTGAGCAGGAAATTGGACTGAAGACCTCTCTTTCAACCTCAATTGTTCTGTAATTCTCTGGGTGAAGCATATTTTATTCCAGTCTTTACCCAAGCAAAGTTACATGTGTTTAAAGTGCACCACATATCTGACAAAGTCCAGAAGAATGAGATTGGAGCTGTTTAGACTGTATTTTTTAAAACTAATTTTGTACCAAAGGGGGTGGTTTCAAACAAAAAAATTTAATTTGATTTAAAAGGCCATTAACTGATTTTGGAGAAGCGTGATTGGCTGTTTAGTAGAGTTTCTTAGTACAGGAAACTGTTTTGTAATCTTTTGAGGAATTAGATCATTAGAGAAGCTCTGAGCAAAGGTTGCATTTGTCCCATTGACACCACATGGGAGGTCAGGCCAGAGCATTGTGGATTATTTTTATGTGCATCACCCTCATGGAATTTCACGTAACACATCTACTGTTGCTGCTGCTTTTTCTGACTTTGAGCTTGTAAATTGTATGCAGTAGGTGATGTTTTCTCCTATTAATGCTTCATGGTTCTTTTGTATCATGTGAAACATTTTTGTCTGTGCTAAATTCTAACTTTCAGTAGATAGGGTATTAAATTGGATAGCACTGATGGGTTTTGTGTGTATGTGTTTAGGGGTGGTTTTGGGGTTTTAGTGTTTTTTTTTTTATTTTGTTCTTTTCTTTTCTTTTTGGGCTCAATAGCTTGTGAAAGATAACTTACTCTGAAGTTGCCAGGTTCTGGTGAGGATGGGTAGATTTTGACTAGAATTGTGAATGTGCTTTAATATAAATTATGTTCTTCCAAAGTCCAGAAGGCTTTGTTTTAAACAGTGAGAATATTCAGGATCTGATACAAAAAGTATTATTTTAAAAGCTTACAGTCCTGTGATCTTCAGATGGTTATTTAATTGTGATCTTCAGATGGTTATTTAATTCTGTTGAAATAATCTGGAATCACTCAGCAGCCCCTTCTTTTCTGGTAATTACATCTTCTCTGTCTTCATTACAAGAAATACATGCCTGAAAAACTTTCGGTTCTTTCACTATTAAGGAAATTTGTTCACCAGATTTTGGAAAAAAACAGGGAGACTTTCATAGTAATTATTTTACCTCCCCATAACCCTAATTTTTATGTGAAAACTTGACTTTTTCTTTGTAACTGTAACTATGGAAGAAATGAAGTAACGTTACAGTCGGACTTCTCTGTACTGTATCCCCTGCCCATGAAAGTATCGTGTAAATCTCATCCCCAGTTTTGACTGGTAGTTATCTCATTTAATTCAGGAAAGTTCTTACTGGTGCAGCCTCCCCTCAGGAGGAGTCTGATCTGCAGGCTCTTAAATTTATTGAAGGCAGTGTTAGGGTTTTGTTCAATCCTTGATAGCATTTTCTGGGCAATTTATTAGTCCAGGGGCTGGCTGTGACTCTCAGCCTAAGTCATTAAGACTGTGTTATAGGACAACTTATTTAGCCACCTTATTGTAGAATTTGGTCCATATTTGCTATGGCTTGGGCACAGCATTAATTCAAAGTTGTGTTGGTGTATTGTTAGGTGCTTTGGACCAACTAAGATGAGCAAACCTTGACTGCCTTACAGACATTAGGGTAATAGCCACAGGTGAGACTAAAAGGAGACTCCAGCCACAAAGTGGGTTTATTGTGACTACTGAGATCTACAAGTGATTCCCTATTACAGGGACACATGGGGGGGCACTTCCTAAAGGAATTTGATGAGATTTGGTTTTATTTGTTTTAAAATCACATTGCCATTCAATATTCAATATTCTCTGTCCAGTACCTTCAGTGGGGTACTGGGGGAAAAAATAAAACATCCTACTGCATGTCTGGCTGTGAGGCAGAATCTTTAAGCAGCTTCATGAACATGTGTATGGAAATAGCTATATGGTTTTTGAATGAGAAGTGGCAGAAGGTGGTGTCGAAACTTAACAGCACATTCATGAATGTGTGGGCATGGAATGCTTGCGGGTTTTTTTTTGAATAATTGTGCAATGCACTAAACAACATATTAATTGTTGTGGTAGAAGAATATGAGGGAAGAGATCACGGAGTGTCTCTGATTTCTGTGCAAACTCTTGTTCAAGTAACTGCTTTCCATGTGAGCTAAAGGTTTATTCCATACTTTTGTTAGAGACCATCCCTTGGTGGAAGCATCTAGATCTGATGCGGTTCTAGGAAATGAAAGACTAAGATCTTTACGTAGGCCAGCTGAGAGAGCCCACCTTCTCCTATCAAATCATTACTTCCATGGGTAAAATACAGAAGGAAAGGAATCCAAGAAAGCTGCTTACCTTCCTGTACATGGAGCTTGCTGAGGTACATTGGCAATAAATACATTTTGCAAATTGGCTTGCTTAATACTGAGATGTTCTGTAAGATCTGGACTCTTGGTGGCAAAGGAGCTGAGTGACAGGTGAAGTCAAGTGTGGTAATATTCAGAAACCATCCCAGTGGACAGTGCTGGCCAAAAGATCCTGATTTGGAGTAAAGATATGCATGGCCATTAAGAATGGGATTCATCTCCCAGATGTAGGTTGTCTGCACATGAGTATGTGCATATGATCCGAGATCCTTAACTCAGGCCAGTATCAACAGGAGCTCAATTCAGTTGCCTACACAAAGAGTGCTGTTTTGGGTGTCTGGCTACTCTAGCAGTGTGGTTTTCTTGAAGATCTGGAGTCCTGTCTGACAACTCCATATGGATACCTTGGATGCTTGAGAGCATCTCAGATGTCACCATAGGTATACATGCAACTGATTCGAGCCTGGAGATCTTTCAGTGAAGTCTGGGCAGTCATTCAGTTAAGGTATCTACTTCAATGTGTGTAGACTTCAGCAGAGATGAACTCTGTTACTACCTTAGACACCTAGCTTGTATGTAGATATGAATATTTGGACACCTACATTTAGGGTGGAATTTATACCCAGATTGTAGACATCCAAATTTGAATTACAAATGGATGAGTTTTAAGGACTTTGCTTTTCATAAGGTAAGTAGGTTTCTTTTATAGCCCTCCTTTTCCCAGCTGTTCCCTCATCACTTGATTCTGCTCCTATTACAAGATCTTCAGTTTCTGTGTTTACATTTGTTTTTTTGTAGGCTCTCATGTAGTTATGGAGTGTAATGTATCAAGTGGCATAAATGGCTTGATTCCATTCTGGCAAGTTAATGATGAGGATGTTGATATCTTTGATAAAACCTACAGGGAACACTTTTATGAGTAAGTATCCTTATACATTGAATTTGTAGTAGGTGAAGTAATCCGCAGTAATGTACAGTGAATTCATTATAAAGTAGCCACTACTCATTGAAAGGCTGATTTGAAGTCTGTATCAAACAGAAGTATGTTCTTATTGCTTGGTTTTAAATGAATAACATTTCATTATAAATACTAGGTCTGACACAAATAGAATGAAGCAAACATGTAGATTTTTATAATACTATTGTGAAATACTATTTTGTAATGCTTAGTTATGCATTTTTTCTTATGTGTTTTTTTTTTTTTCAACAGTACATTAAAGTCTTTCCTTTATCATTAATATGGGAAGGATAGACTGTTCCAAAATAAAAAGTCACCCAACTTATTTTTATTTGTGAAAATGGTCCTTTTTAAAGTACAGACACAGCTGCTAATCCTCAAGAACACAAGGCAGAAACTCTTGTTGCAGGACATTTAGGTTCCAATGTTTGACTACCCTGAAGTAAAAAAGTGTTCAGGCGGAATTTCAGATGGGAAAGTCATTCAGTTTGTGTTCATAGGCTCTTGTCCAGGTCAGTGGGCACTACTGAAAGGAACCTGGCTCCCTCTTCTCCACTCCTTCCTCCCATCAGGTATTAACACACTTCGATGAGATCCCTCCCCTGCCCCTGAGCCTTCTCTTCTCCAGGCTGAGCAGTCCCGGCTCTCTTGTGTGATGGATGCTCCAGTTCCTTATCTGTCACATCACTGCACATGACTTGCTCCAGCAAATCCATCCATCTCTTGTACTAGGCCCCCAAAACTGACCCCACTACTCCAGGTGTGATCTCACCAGTGCTGAACCTCACTGAAGGACCATTTCCCTTAACCTGCTAGCAGTGTATTTCCTAATGCAGTCCAGGATGTCTGGGGTCTGGTTATTCCTTCTCATATGCAGGATTTGCATTTTGCTTAGAACTTCATGAGTATATTTTTTAATTTGTCCATCCTGTCAAGGTTTCGCTGGCTGTTGTATCAGACATCCCTCTGAGTTTTGTGTCACCTGCAAAGCTGCTAATGGTGCACTCTGTTCAACTTGGGGGAAAAACCCAACAAACCCAACCCAAAAAAACCTGAAACAACTAAGCTCAGTATGTTTTCAGTTCATGAGATTGTTAGTTACAGAAGTTTATTTACTGTGTTTCACTAGCTTCTTAGGTTTATAGAGATAAAAAAAATTAATGTCTTTGTGGATAGATGAATCTGTCTCATATTTACCATAGATATTGAGTTATGTGCAGATGTTTTCCTTTTACCTTTTTTTATGACAGAGAGGGATTGCCTCATGGACTTGCTGTATCTGGAACAATATTTAACATTTCAAAAGTGAAATTAAAGGACTATGCTCATAAGTTCTTCTGCCACTTCATATATGGTTCTCAACAATTTACAGCGTACATCAAATTGGAATACCCAGGTAAGAGATCTCTTCTTGACAAAATGATCATTGACTTGTCAGTTAGTTTTACAATGCCCTACTTAGAATTAAAGCTGTGTGATGTAGTGTTATGCAAAATGGGCAGTGCATCTCAGTACCTTTCTTTGTGAATTTTTTTTGTCACATTCTTAGCAAAATGAAAGAAAATAGTGCTTTTGATATATCTTCTCTCATTCGGTATTTTGGGACTGAAAGTGAATATGAGCTCTAACTTGTTACATTATTATAATTTCTTCATAAAGATTATCAGGGTAGGATTTAACTACAGAAATTCTTTAATGCATTGACTAAAACATGCAGTTTGTGGAGGGTGTTTGTTTAAGGACAGTAAATGAATAGGTTCACAGACAGGTCATTGAAGGGGCAGAGACAATGGAAAGCTAGTTGGTCTGGGGAGATTAGCTGGTCAGGAAATCACCTCCCCACCTTTGACTTCCTTGCTTTCCAACTGATAGACTTTTGTACAGGAATTCTCATTCTGCTGCTGTGCTGGGTTATATGTCAATATTTTATTTTGGTGTTTCAGCTGAAGAGTAGCCTCATTTATCATATTGCTGAGGTATTTTTCTGAAAGATAAAAGTAGGCTTATCAGATAACAGTAGTGTCAGAAAGCATATATTAAACAGTTTGTCCTATTCTTTCACTCCTTTTAAAACAAAAATATTTTAATGGATAAACAATTTTGAACAATCCTTGTATTTTCCTAGTCCTAGTTTATAGTTGTACTTTATTTGTTTTCTTTCTTATTCTATGCTGCTGCAGCTCGAAACATTCAAGGGTACTTAATTGGAGGAGGAGTTTCCTTGGTATTTTTAGTATTTTTTACTCTCTTCATCTACAAGATCTTCAAAATTGATATTGTGCTTTGGTATCGGGACTCCTGCCATCTCTTCCTGGGGAAAAAAGGTATGTTTATGTAACAGTGCTGAGTGTTGTTTTCAGCTCCCACCTTTACTTGCAAAGCAGTGAGTTACTCTCATGGACCATGATTGGTCTTCCTTGGGGTTTTTGAAAGGATAATACTGTTTTTCGGATATTTAGAATTAGTTCAGATGACAAAAGCATCTACAGGAGAAAAAGTCAGCAACTTTCCGGGAGTACAGAACTATCATTGCTTTTCCTGAAGACCCACCCTGGTGATTTGAATACTGCTCTGACAGCAGTTTTTCAGATTACTTTTAATTACTGTTGTTACAGAAAGCAGTAATACATTAGAAGTGTTAAGTGTTTTTTATTTTCTGTAGATGAAACAGGGAAAATATAATTTTGTTTTGCTTTCTATTTAAAGGCACTTCTGATTATTTTACTGTCTGGAAATTTTGCTTTCCTGGCATTCAGAACAATGTTGATAGGGGTGTTGTCTATGAGAGTATGCTGAAGTATGAGTAATTTCCAACCATCTGAGAGGAGATACTTTCTGTTTCTCTAGCCATGTATCTTGTGGAGGTATTGATATTCTCTTAGATTTTCTTGGAAGTCTTTTAAATTAGATCTTTTTGAAAAGTTTGATCCAAAATATCTAGAACAATTCAGATCTTGAAATTTGACACTTTGTTTTTGTTGTTGTGTCTACGTGGTTGCTGCGGTTTGAAACTCCAGGTTGCAACACCACCTATGAGTTTGATGACAAATGGAATTTTAAGTATCAGTTGTGCCACTGGGTCCATTGTTTTTCAGATAATTCAGTGATGACTTTTTTTATTTAGTGTTCCATAGAGAAAGTTTCAACTTAATTTTTCAGGTCTCTTTTGACTATTCAGATTCAGCATCCTGAATTCTAGAAGGCCTGATCCTACAAATATTTCAGGCTTTGTATAATCACACATGCTTAGCTAATATAACAGGATTGGGGCATAAAACAATTATTCAAGTAAGGGAAAGCTCCCCAGAGTTTAGAGATTTTGCATGTTTGCTTGCTTGCTCTTGTATCTTTAGAATTTATTTTTATGGAAGTTCTATTGCTCACTCCTTAGTTTCAGATGAGAAGATCTATGATGCTTATGTTCTGTATCCAAAGAACAGAGAAAGCTGCTTGTATTCATCAGATATTTTTGCTCTGAAGATACTGCCAGAGGTCTTAGAAAGGCAGTGTGGATATAACCTCTTCATACTTGGGAGAGATGATTTACCAGGAGAAGGTAAGTTACCTGAAGACAAATTTGACTTGAGTTTTCTTGTTGACCTGGAAATAGAACTGAAAAACAAGCAGTCAGATGAGAGTCTAAATATCTCTCATCATCAAATGAACTTTTTTTTACAGTTGAAGGATTTTGGTAGTGGTTTGAGAAGGAAGGGTTCCCTGAGAAGTAGAATCTAAAGCGCTGCTTAAATTTTCCAGCTTGAAAAAATGCAATAGTCTGTTCTCAGGGTTTAGCCATGGGGTTTTTGTGTGGTATTTACCATATTTCACTGTGACTTTACTGACTGGAATGCCATTGATGGGGGGTGTGATTGTTTGATGCTACCACAATGTTAGTGCTTCTATGAAAATCTATTTTTTAATGGTTTCTGTGAGATGTGACTAGAAATAGAACAAAGCAGGATTTAGCTTAGGAATAAAGGAAAAAACTTTATTAATTTACAATATCTAAAAAGGAACACACAGAACTCAGAATGAAAACTTTATAAAACATTTTTCCTCTTTCCCTCAATTTCTACTACAGCACAATGAGGTAAAACTTTAGATTTTTAATCTAGCTACTACTCCTCAGATAATCAACTCTCATTTCATTAAGGAGAAAGGAGTTTTCTTGTACTATAGGCTTTTGTAGGAAATACAGTTTAACTTCTTGTGTTTCTATGTTACACATGGCACTGCTTGGAGAACATTTACTCTCATGACTTTTTTCTTTCTATGTCTACTGCTCCCACTACTGCACATGGACTTTAACTGCTTTTAGGGTTTTCTTGTTAAGGATGCTTTGCTCCATTTAAAAAAAGCAATAGTCTTTCACTTTTCAGACACCGTTCATCCCCTGGGGCTGAGGGGTCTCAAGAACAGAGACCTTCTTTTTCTTTACTGAAGACAGAGGGCACTACTACACCCTCCTCATCTGTCTCTCTTTATGCACTCTTTTATATAACATCACTGCACTCTTTTGGCTCTAAGCCATTGCCTCCCCATAAATGCAGTCTCTGTGTTACAGGAAGAAATGGGTCTGTCCATGGCTATACAGGAAGAGTCTAGTTAAAGGCTACTCCATCATCTCTTCTCACCTAGAATTCTTTTCAACTTCTTCTGACATCTTTCACTTGCATGAACTTTTGCCACACTTGCCCATTTCCTTCTATTTCATCTCTATCTCTCTCCTCATTCAAATCTAGGAGGATCAGTACTTGCAAGGTTTCCATTATCTAAGAAAAGGGTTAAAATCTCAGGCTCTGCCTGCCCAGAACTCCCACGGCAGCTGGGCACCTTCTTGCCACACCCCCCCACCCCCCCATCATCTCTCTTCTTCAGCTGTGCTGCCAGCACAAGATATTAAATTTCAAGGTGGCACAGGCACATGCCCTCTCTCTCTTTCCCCCTCTCTCTGTCCTGGGGGGTGGTGCAGCAGGGGAAGCCTGACCTCTTTCACAGAATGGAACCAAAAGAAAGTTTTCCTGAGAGTTCTCTGCTTTTTAACCCGCTGTGTCTCAAAAGTGTATCCATGTCTTCAGTAGTCACACCAAGTGCCAATATTCAAATCTAAGTACTGCTTAGTTTGACCACAACCTCCCAAAAAACTCACTTCCATATCAACCTAAAACAGGAGGAATCTTTTTTTTCCTCTTCCACTTACTGGAACAAAACCAGTTAAGCATATCAGAAACAGACTGTTTAAGGTAAAAAAGCTCCTGTGGTTCTGGAACTTGGGAAACTTGGGGTTTTTTTGCATTTGTATCTATGATGGTAACAAAATGGCATTGGCAAGATGAGTAGTAGATGGTAGCTCTTCTCTGTTTCTGCAAAACAAGGATATGGACATAGACTCTGATGGGGTCAGATTGTGTTGCATTGGCCAGATTTCTATAGTGGGCAAACCCAAGGTAACTAGTTATATCCTCATACCCTCTCCCTGTTTTGATGTCAAGTGTGTCGGCTTAAATATCGAACAGCTGATGAATTAGCTGCAGAATACTGGTAAGAGAAAACAGAAATCCAACCTTAATTTTGCACAATCTTTTTCTCTACAGCTGTGATCAGCGTTGCTGATGAAAAAATCCGTCAAAGTAGAAGAGTGATAATTGTTTTAGTACCAGAGCCCTCCTGTTACAGCATTCTGGAAGATGAGTCTGAAAAGCAGCTAGCCATGCATAGTGCTCTTATCCAAGATGGCATTAAAGTAATTCTCATTGAACTTGAAAAAATACAAGATTATGCAACCATGCCAGAATCCATCAGATATATTAAGCAAAAGCAGGGGGTTATCCGATGGAAAGGGGACTTTTCAGAAAGGTCCCACTCAGCAAGAACCAGATTCTGGAAGAAAGTGCGCTACCAGATGCCATCCAGAAAAAGTGGCTCTTTACCACAATTGCATTTGTTACCAAAAGACTTGAATAACAAATGAGAAATGACACTTAAGGACTGATTTCAGTTCACACAGTTGGTGATGGATTGACTGAAGGTCCCATGTATCTGTTTTGTGCAATCTCATCCACATTTACTGGAGTGGAGATACTACAGTTTCATCTCCAGATGTGAATCGTTTTTACTTCTGGCTGGATCAACAGAACACCATGAAATATCATCAGTAGCACATGTAGGAAGGACACAAGTAGTTTTCCAAGAATGATTCTGTGAAATTCCCTTGTATTAAAAATGAAAGGACAAAAAATTGTCAAAAACCTGAAGCCAATGAAGAAAATTTGATTTTTTTTCCTGCAATTAAAGTTTCAATATGAAGGGAATTACACTGATTATTGTTGTAATACAGGTAATGTGCATGGCTGGTGCCAGTAAATGTTTGTTTCTTTTTTTTTTAATGAAATGACACAAACCTTTTCTTTGTTACAAGTTTGTTACTTGCCTTGTTCAATTTGAGGAAAGATAAATCCCCATGTTACTGCATCAGTGTGTTATCATCCAGGAGAATTCACAGAATTCACATGCAGGAGAAAAGGTAAGAGACAATTCCAGCCCTCTAAAAGTGCTGTTGAACCCGACAAAGCTTAAATACTCTTCCTTGATCTTTTTTACATTTGAAAGATCAATGCCAATTTTAGTCACTTGTCACATGCGGTTAATGTAAAAATACCTTTGTAATCTGTATCAAGTCAAAAAAATAATCTCCAGAGAACTTTTTCTTTCCAGTTAAATGGCTTAATATATTTATTTACCCAAATGGAACAATTGGCTAATGATACAGTCTGTCATGGGAGGTACTGGATGATTGACTTCATCCACCTTACCTTAAGGACCATGTCAAGGGGCAGAGAGAGAGAGAGATGCCCCTGTGTTACCCCCTGCAGCTGCTTGCTTTTCTCCTTTCCCTCTGCTCTGATATGTAAGGAATCTGAGATGATTGTGTGCTGGAGGCTACAGTCACAGCTTTCCAAACAAAGGGAAAGGAAGCTGTGTAAAATGTTGTATCCTTTCTCTTTCATTTTAAAATATTTTTAATAGTATTTTATATACCAAGTGTTAACTCTAGTTATGTTTGACTTGTAGGCAGTGATGTAGTTTGCGATGATCAATTCTTTTTTTGAGGCAGGGAATTGATTTGAATGATTAGGAAAATTCATCAGATCTCTTTAATGCTATGGTTATAGCTATTAATTTTATAGAAACAGGAGATGAGAGCCAAATTTCCCATGTAATTTCAGTCTGTCCTTGAACGTTACGCTTTTAGGCTGTGAGATTTTGTTGTATAGGGAAGCCTCAGGAGTTGACTGTTACTGCTGCTTGCAACTCTGGATTTCTGTGTCCTGTCAGCTTCTTTCTTGCAGCACCTTTTGCTCTCCTACCATTCAAACTCCAACCTATATTTTCTCTTTCAGCTCCTTTATCTTGAAACAAGCAGCTTGCTTTTGTGTCAAACTTCATCACTTTTCAAGCTCTGATTGAAGGCTCTTGCAAATTAGGCAGAAATTTTCCCTCTGGAATCTCCACTTGTTTGTGTGAAAAAAATTATATTCTGCAACCTTCAGAATCTATCTATTGATTTACACACTGCAGTGTTGGCTTTTCTTCTTTCATGGCTCAAGCAATTTTCTTATGCCTCAATACTCAACCAAACAAAACTGTTCTGGCTGATAAGTGACAAAACCAGTGCAAGTAAGTTCTTTTCCCAACTAAATTAAGTGTGTGCTGGAAACTAGAAACAGTGCTTTTGAGAGACAGTGTCTTCTGAGCTTTGTGAGTTATGTGTGTGTTTGGCCAGAATGGAATAAGAATCTTTTCATTCCAGGAGGAAGGCGGGAAAGTACATTTGAAATGTCAGACTAATTCAAACTGCTATGGTACTGAAGTGTTTTATTGATGAATGTCATGTATTACAGACCTATGCAGATGCACATAGTCTTTTCTCATTCTGTGTTTTAGTCACAAGAGAAGTGTCAAGGCATGATCAGTCCTAATCATGGAGTGTTTAGCATTTACTTAGCTGTTCATGCTCTCTGCCTTTAAATATGGTGTGTGTTCAGTGGCAGCCTGTTGTAGGGTAAAAGAGCCTTGAGATCCATCTGAAGTCACTGAAAACCATCTGAACAAGTCTAATTGTTACAGTTCACATTGATAGAAGAATCAAATAGTACAGGAGCTGTATGGTTTAGTCACAAAACTCTTCTTTGAGAAATCCCTGTATCAAATGTGAAGACCAGACATTGGCATTATGGTATTTGTACTCTGAGAACTGGGGTGTAACACTGATTTTGTGCTTTCACCTTGACAGCTCACAGTATGCAGGCCAGCCAACAGAGTTCCAGCAACCTCAATCCTAATTACTTCTGCTGAGTGGAACAGATTGAAAGGAGAACTGCTACTTGTTATCCCTAACTTTAGGAATGGAAGGTTATTTTGCTGAGCCAAAATAGTGTTTTAAAAATATTTGTTCCTTTTGATATATTTATATAAATAATGCTAAAGTTTTCATGTGTGTTATGTAAAGGCACTTTGAGGAAGAGTCCATTTTAAAATTTAATAAAGGCACTACATATTTTTTCATATGCATTGCTGTTTCTTTTGCCCTCTTTCTCCTAAGACATACTGAGAATGGACAATGGCAAGCAGCGGTTGTGACTCAGTGGCTTAACAAGACTGCTATGATAGATCTTTGTTCAGGCTGCTGCCAGTCAATCTGGCTGTGGTACAACACTAGCACATACCCTGCCTGGCTAAACAGAGACTGTGAGCCTGGCTCTGCTCTCTCTGGTACTCTCCTTGCAGCAAGGTGAAGCTAGAGCAGCCCCAAGGCTGCTGCACAGCTCTTGGGGACCAGCATGGTCCTCAATAGTGCCATACTGAGCAGCCTTTTGCTGCAGCTCCTCAGGAGCTGGGGAAATGCTGGTGACCTCAGTTGGGGGGAATGTCAATTGCTTCTCAGCAGGAGTGGAGAGGCAGCCTTCTCTGATCAGCTGCTGGAGCAAGTGCTTACTCTCTGAGAGTTGGGATTGTTCAGCCTGGAAAAGAGAACTTTGGTGAGGACAAATAGTGCCCTTCCAGGGCCTGAAAGGAACTTACACAAAAGATGGGGCAAGGCTTTACAAGAGCATGTAGTGACAGGACAAGGGGGAGTGGCTTAAAAGTGAAAGTGTAGGTTTAGATCAGATATCAGGAAAAAATTATTTACTCTGAGGGTGGTGAGGGACTGGAATAGATTTCCTGGAGAAGCTGTGGGTACTCCATCCCTGGAGGTGTTCAAGGCCAGGTTAGTTGGAGCTTTGAGCAACCTGGTGTAATTGATGGTATACCTGCCTGTGGCAGGGGCTTTGGAACTAGACAATCTCCAAGATCCCCTTGCACCCAAACTATCTCTATGATTCTGCGTGCAGCCTGGCTGCCTTGTCCTTGCCTTCCAGCCTGAGTCTCACACAGGCTCATGCTGATTGCAGTGGCTCCAGTGCATAAATATGGGGCAATGAAGAGGGGAGTGCTGTGCTGCTTCTGCACCTGCCTCTTCTGCAAAGTGTTTTCACTGTAGGATTCAGGTTCTCAACAGGTATGAGTGATTCGTCCCAAGTTATACCTCATCTTTTTTTTTTTTCCTTTTGTCTGAAGTTTCTTACATGATAGAAAAAAAATGTAGTGAAACCATAAAAATGAAAATGTGAGAGGGAGGGAAGGATGGAGGCAATGGTAATTATTCCTTTTTAGAAGATTGTTTTGTGTTAGTGCATCAGACAGCAGGGAATCTGATTTTAAATGCAATGCACTTCCCTAACCTTGTGCACTGATTTTATTAGAAGTTAACGATGAAATAGTATTTAGGAAATAAGGATGAAATTATATAAATGTGACACACCAAAGTGCTTACTCAATGGTTTTGTCTTCATTATGTGACAAGCTGTAACAAAATATGTTTAAATTTTAAAATGTATTAGCACTAAAAATACTGCTGGCTTTTATTATCATATTATTTTTTATTATGAAGGACAAGCCTGAATATTATGTGTCCTTATCAGTAGTGTTTCAGAGATGAGAAAGGATGCATTGCTTATTCACTTATTCAGGGTGTAAGACATTAATCTGACTGACTCTACCTAATTTTTAATTACAGGATTAATTTTATTGTGTTTAGACAAAAGGGGAAATGAATAGTCATATGATCTTTTTTATAAATAGTGTAATGAAAACAATTTTAATCTTCTAAATTCATTGTGCATAAATTGAAACTATATTGTGGCAGCATATATATCCATTTTCTTTTCAGCTTCTACTTAAATAGTAAATGCATCCTACTGTAAAAAAGCAAAGGTGTTGTTTAGGTAAGAGCAACTTTTTATAACAAGCTTTTGTATTTCTTTGTTATTTAAATATGCTAGGTTATTTTTTCTGCCCTTCTTCAATTTCTAAATTGCATTTAAAAAGGACACCTTAATTTTTTTGTCCATATAAACACACAAATGTAAGTGATAATGTGATAGTTCTCTTGGCTAGAATGGCTCCAGAAGCAAAGGTGGCTCAGTGCATCTGAGGAGCATCACTGTGCCCCAGAAACTTTCCCTCACACCTTGTCTTGGTGGACTGCTGCAGCTCTGCAGGGCTTGTAGCAGGCTTCTCAGCACCTCGTGGGCAAAACCAGCAGTTAGCTATGATACACAAAGTAGAAAACCCCCCCCAGTTTTCAGAGATGTTTTAATGTGTAAAGGATTGCTATTGTTACCAGCAAAATTACTTTCTGCATTCCTGAAGGAGTGTTATAGATTTTGAATTGTAACAACCCCTCCAGTTTTCAGAGATGTTTTACTGTGTAAAGGATTGCTATTGTTACCAGCAAAATTACTTTCTGCATTCCTGAAGGAGTGTTATAGGTTTTGAATTGTAATTTCTATTGTCTATGTTTTAATAATTAATTGTTATTGCATTTTAATCTGAAATTTAATCTGCCTAAAGACAAAGGGTTTATTAGTTTCGGAGGGGATCTTGTTCTGATTGATTGTGGGTCCCTAGAGGGCAGTCCTGGGCCACCTACTCTGAGGTAGCTGATGCTTGGGATACCCTTGTGCTAAATTGTGGTGAAAGAAAGGCAATCAATTAGCCATCAATAACCTTCAGGCAACAACGATTTAAACTTTATGGTAGTCTGGACGGTCTGTAGCAGCCACTTCAACATTTTTGAACAACATGTAGCAGCCGTGGTTTTTGAATAGTTTGTGGATAAAGCTTTTCTGGACAACATGTGGCAACAACAAATTAAAGTTTTATGAAGAGGAAGAAAGGAAGAAGGAAAAATGGGGAAATAGAGAAGAAAAGATCTGGGTCACTAACCAGACTTCCAACACTGTCTCTGGTCTAGTTCCTGTGGATGGTGAGTGCAGGGATGTGGGTTCACACCCTGCCCCTCTCTGTTTTACTACTTATAAACTAGTCCTTGCCCATGTGCATTTTGTTATTCTTTAACTTTTCAGAAGGAGACTGGGGGGGTCTTGTGGTTTCAAATCCCTTCCCCTGACAGATCCAAGTCCACTGCTTTGTCAAACTTGTTTTTAGAAATAGTTCCCCAAGATAAGCAAGTTGACCCCAGAAAAACACTCTCCTGCCTCTGCAAGACCCTCTTTTTTTAACTGCACCTTATCTAGATGGCATGGTAACATTCATTTTATCTTCTGCCAAATGTTTGAGACATTAACTGTTTCAGGTTTCCAGTTTCTCACACTGATATGACTGAAAAAGGAATGGAAGGAATTGCTTAATGGAAATCATATATGCTTGCTTGGGAAAACATGATTTACATAAAAGTTACTAGTCAGTCTTCAGTCTTGCGTAAAAAAGTGATGCAATTCCATGGATTTTTCTGTAGTTTCTTTCTTTAAATCCAAAAGTTTGATGTGATGATTCTCTATATTCAAGAGGAACATTGAACTGAAACACCCAAGAAAATGGTTTTCTTCAATTATAGTAATCCTTTCTAAAGTATCAAGTTGTAATAGAATTACTAACACTTTTTAAATAGTTTTGTGTTTAGAAGAACATTCAGTTTCAAATTCAGAGCCTGGGAACCCAGACATTACTCAGCTGCTCTTTAGCTGGTTCTTGTTGCAGATGTGTAACTATGGACCCCACGCTATAGTCTATGGACTATAGGTCTGGTCATATTCAGAAGAGACAGCTGGATTAATGAATAACAGGATTTATTGGCTGCAACATCTATGGTTCTTTTGGATTGCCAGTGATAAAGGCATTAACTGCAGAGTAGCTGTATATAGCACTAACAATATGATTGCAATCACAAGCTGAATATCCCAGGTCAACACTCAGCATAGCTGAGGATGCAAGACTTACCAAAAGGTATTCCTTCTGGGGAGGGCAAGGAGGACAAACCCATCAACCTGTCCTTGCAATTTTGTATCAAATTCTCATTCCCCCACTTAGATATAAAATTGGGGTAAGTTTTATACCTTACTAACCACTGTTTTGCGAAGTGCTCTGATTGGGGCTGTAGTCAAACCTTGCATTCTTTGTTGCATTGTACAGAATATTTCTCCACAGGAGGTGTACTTGGTTTGTACAAAATATTCCAGGGTATCAGGTAGAAGAGTGAGATCCTGTGGCTTCCACCTCACTCCACATTCATCCCCCGTGACAAATTACAAGATCTCCATTTGGTTTCCATTAGTACTTTGTGGGTCCTCTGACATATTGAGCTTTGCATTATCCAACCGTGCTCTTTCCACCAGCTACTCTTTTCTAGTCAAATGATGTTGGTTATGAGTGGAAAGTGTAAATCTGAGGTGAAAATCACCATCCCAGAATTTATCCAACACTTACAAATCAGTTCTTGGATGGCAGATGTGGCAAGTAGCAAGCAGGTTGCAGTACATGCAGTTTGGGTGCCCTCCTAGTACTGCATCGCACCTTCACTGCCTCAGGGATGGAAGGAAAGAAAGTTCAGGCAGGCAAGTCTTCTGAGATGAGCAGAACCAAAAAGAAAACTTTTGAGCACTATCTGTGACTCCAATATTACAGGATGTTTTAGTTCTTTGGTGCTCTTGAGCCTAACTGCCCAGCACAGCTGTATCCTCACTCCACACTGGGATGTATGTGGATTCAAACCACCTCTTTGGCTTTCCATGGAAGAAAACCCAGTCTGCAGCCACAAGGGGTCATGAACATGCTCTGTAGCAGAGCCCCAGCATGCAAATGGTCAGTGCTTTGAGAGGCTGAAATGTTATCAGAAGTTCCAGTGCAAGCCCTTGGTTAACACTGAGTTAAGGCTGACAGCCTTAATTTCCCATTTCACAAAGACCCAATCTGTCAAAGGCTGCTACTTCATTTTTCATTCCCTCTTTTCAACTCTTGCTTGATTCACCCAGGAACCCTTGGTGTTGTTCCTTTCCTGAGGAATCTGTTCTGCCTAGACTACCAGTGTAAATAAAAATATTGTTACATTTTTTGTGTTACAGATTTTTTCCAACAAAACACTGCTGTGTTGTGAGCAATTAATAACTGAACAATTAATAACAGAAACCAGCTGTTTGTAAAAATCTTCCCTAATGTTACAGA